TAAGGCTCATATTGGCAGATATTATGGTGAAATGACATATCGATCAGACTCTAATTTCAATATTATACAGTCAAGTGTAACACCAACACAAACTACATCCTCAGTAATAAACTTCTATATATATTATACATCAAACAAAATGAAAAACAAACAGCCACAAGCTGTTTTTATAATTGTAATATATACATAATTATAGTCATAATTTATTTTGTATTCATATAGGATTATTCATAATCAATCCATGACCTCAGCTGCGCCCCTGTGTGAATCTGTGGAGAATATTCACCTGAATCTACAGCTCCATTCATTTTACAGAGCTTAATACATTTAAGTTATTGTTTAGTTGTGTGGTGTTTACGCTCACTGCTCTCAGAGTGTTGTTTTGGGCAGAAGTGTTGTATTAAGTGATGGACTAACAAACTGTCAGTTTTAGTTTTTTGTTGTTGTAAGAAAAATAGAGATTAACTCCAGATCTCTGCAGCATGTCTCTGATGCACGTGTGTGTTGCTCTGTCCTCTTCACATGCCAGTGAGAGTATGTAACTGCACCGAGCTGGGCTACTGCTACATGGCACCAAATGAGCGTTCCTTCAGATTCGGGACGGGACCCACCATCGGGATCCTGGCCGGCACGATGGGATTCTGCAGTAAGTTTCACACACATTATGTAACAATCTCACCCATGACACTGTATCTATTATATTATCACAGTCATGTGTGAGTGTTCAGCTCTGTCCTGACTCCAGTTTGTTTTTTGCTGTGACTGATTTCTGTTTTGTCTCTTCTGCAGTTCTTGTCTTCGTCATAGTGATCAAACGCATAAATAAAAAGGGCAAGAAGCAGAAAGCATTGACTGAGGAGGACCAGGCCATGATGTAGAGACTACACACACACACACACACACACACACACACACACACACACACACACACACACACACACACACACACACACACTTATTTTATTTTATTTACTAGATGAAGTTGATGAATGAGTGCTGTGTATACTTAATTGCAATAATTCATCACTGTGTTTTTGTAGTGAACAAACTCCTGCTCTCTTTCCCAATAAACTGAGAAACTGGGAACAACTGCGGTTTTCACATCCTCTTTGTGTAGCGTGTCTGTTGTGTGTGGGTGCATGTGACGGCAGACGCATGGTGGAGCAGGTGACACAAAACACGAGCTGTCACACCTCCGTTCAAAAAACCAACTGCCTTTCCACAATTTCCCTTTATTCAGATGTTTGGCGGGCATTTACTCTGTGTTCACGGTCCCATTCGTCTTTTTCTCTCCCCTCTCCTCCTCCTCCTCCTCCCTCTGTGTCGGTGTGCTGCAGAGCAGTCAGGGCCACGGTGCTGCTGCAGAGAATGTTGCTCTGAGTCATCTCTGTAACAGTGGGATACAGGCCAAGGATTGTTAGCGGTGCTGAAAAGAGAAAGGCATGATTGTGGGCTGTTATGCAGCACAAAGAGACTGAGACACAAAGAAAAACACACCCCGAGTCCCATTACACACACATGTTGAATGTGGGTGCCCCATGTGCTGCCATTATCATGCATCCTTTCAGTACATGTGCAGGATGTGTTTTTGTGATGAGTCATAGAGCGTCCTGCTGGACATTTCAGACAGCAAAACATTGTCAGAGGCCGAGGAGCACACAGAGTTACAGCCTCATAACAGCAAACTCTACATGGAGCCTCGTCATTGTTTATGTCTGTACTTTCTCTTCGCCTGTATCCCAGCAACACTTTCCACAACAACACACACACTCACACACACTCACCGAGTGCTGGTGGGAGACACTGAAAGGTTGAGGGCCAGAGGAGAAGAGGTAGAGTGAAGACAAGGGCAGTAAACTGTGTGATGGATTATGTGGCCACCGCAGAATATCAAGACTCACCATCACCACTTCACATGACTGTTTCTCTGTACTGGAGAACTATTCTATCCTAATATAGGAATACGAAGGGAGGATAATGACATGACAATTACAGAGTACGTGTTTAAAGGTCAGTTGATTGAAACTTAAAATTAATCCAAAGGATACACACACATCAGACATTGGGTGATTAATTTTGATGTTTGAGACTTGTTTTTCATTATTTTCAACAAACATAACTCGGTGGTCACAAGAACTAAATGTCTGGTTTATGTGCATATGAGATATTCCAAAGTATAACTGCATGCTCACATGATGTATCAAATGTGCATCTTAATATAAATAAAATAAAATACATAAAACTCTTTATATAATTCTGCCGATGTGTCAAGTAATGAAATGCTGTGATCAAGTCCATTTGTTTAATGGCAATTATTTTAAATGTAAAATATTTTGTTGATTAATGTTTTTATTGTTAAATTAAATATCAATTCATGTTTCAACATTATTTCCATGACACTCTAAGTTTTCCATAACATGTTCTTTATTTGTAAATATAAACTTAAGACGCTTTAAGGCTGTTTCTGTGTTTTGTAAGATTTTTTTTTATGTCAATCAAGGACTGAAATGATCTTTCCTGCTTTAGAAATCAATAAACTTTAAATTTATTATTTCTCATCTAAACCTTAAAACCCAAATGTGTCATGGACATAACTTTTATTTAATTGGCTGATGAGCTGTTAAGATTCTGTACATCAGAGTTTAGTTTGTGGGGATGTGGGATCTGATCTTTGTTCCTGCATTTTAATCCCACGTATGACCATGTAAATAAACTCCAGGAGCAGACGTCATTCTGATTTTATTAAATCCCGCAATAAGTGTTTACGCGGCAGTGGAGGTTATGGAGACCTGGAAGTGACCAAAGTAAGATGTGGGGGTTTCAATTTTCAGTAAGCTGACTAAATGTTGCCAATAAACAAACACACCAGTTGCTCTGGATGTGATGATGAGAAAGGAGACGCTAAGTCTTAAAGTAAATCTTCCACAGCAGAGTCAGTGAGTTTACTTTAGTAGTTTCCCTCTATTACAAATAAAATGAAAAAGTGAGAAGCTTTAGATTTCCTCTATCAAATGTGCAGGATCGTAATGAATAAGAGCAGTTTTTTGTTATCTCCATATATTGCTCCCATAATAACATATAAAGACTTTTTTTTAGGATATAGATAATAAATGGATGGAAAGGCTTAATAATAATGCATTTCATTTTAATGAATAAAATAATATAATGTATTGATGTATATTTTGTAACACAGCTGTTCCACATGTGTCCTGTTGATGGCAGTATTTCTCCAGAGCTGATGATAGTTTAAACATTGGACACTTTTTGATCCAGCAGCATCACCTAGTGGTAAAGTTCCCACCTCGTGACAATATGACTCACACTACAGTCATTGTCACATGAAGCATTAAACCCACTGTGAGCTCCGTAGTGACAACTGCTGCCTCACAAGCCAAGTGAGCAAAGACTATCACACTCAACCTCAGACTGGGACATCCTGTTACGTTATAGGGTTGTGGCAGTGCCAAGCAAAACACACAACAGTTGTGCCAGCAGGTGTGTACTCAGTGTTTAATTAAACCATTCCATATACAAAACTTAATCCGCATAAGTTACAATTTATACATAAAACTGCAGATGAACATGTGTAACGTAACACTAAAGCTTAATAAAATATCTTTAATAATATTCAAACAGCGCGTTTCAAACATTTACATTCTGCTCATACATTTGGGCACAAACACACGTCCCTGTGAAAAGCGTTAAACTTGAGAGAGTCAGGAGTGCGATCGACTTCTATGTTCTCTGCTGCTGCTTTCAGAAAAAATAAAATCTGGAAGAAAAGGTTAGTACATAACATAAGGCAACAGGAATCCCTTTTAAGCCAAACGAGCTTGGACAAGAAATGAATTTTACTCCTACCCCTCAAAAGATTAAGCGTCACTGCTGTAACCAGGTGCTCCGACTGTGGTAGACCTCAGTTAGTTTGTCAGTTTAGAGGTTTTCTAACATATACTGATTTCCATCTACCACCGTCTCTCTAACCAAAGAAGTAATGGAGAACACATCAATCATTTAATTCCTACTTTCTTTTTATTTCACAGAAAAGCCAACTACGTAACAGTCTACTAATAGTGACAGAGTTCAGGACTCGTACTATGAATATTTGGATAGATTACTTTCTTTTTTTTTTTGCTTTGTTACTCCAGAGCACTGGGTTTGCAACAAAAACTAAATCCAGCTCAGTGGTTCAACCTTTTTGCCTTGAGACCCTTTAAAATGAAGCTCTGTCTATTTGCGTTCCCTCATTACAGGTTATAGCCTGCTCCAAACATTGGGTGTAACCACAATCCTTCTCAGTTATTTCATTTAAAAGGATTTTAAAACACCCAAAGAGGTGAAAGTACTTTTGTATATATTTAAGTAGCAAACATTTATGTAACAGAATTATTTTATGTGATCCTTGAAACACATCTGAGGCGCCACAAAGGCCTGGAACCCCGGCACTACGATTTTTAAACTTTAATTGTACGGTATTCACCCTCACACCAGATGCACTGTGGGTTCTACACCATCGATCCAATATGGATATGAATGTCCTTTGACGTCACCGTTTCACATGATATCCAGTGTACTGGATTCATAATCATCATCCAAATACCCACTCCAGGGAGAAATACTGAATAAAAAGTCTATGTTTGAATGGTACTAATCTCATATGTAACATCTGTTGTAACATCTGTTGTAACATCGATCCCTCAGATGCAGAAACAACCCATAGCACAAAGGATTGTGCCTGAGATGTATGTTTAAAAACCAGACAACAGAAGACAAGAGTGTCTTATTCTTATTATCAGATCGAGTGAGCGCCACAAGGCCTCTTCACTCTTGAAGTCCCAACCGTCACCCTCTTTGGAATTTCTATATTTTCAACTGAACTTTCAGTAAACAAGGAGGTTGAATCTTTTGGCACAAAAATCCATTTGAAACAGCATCTTCTTAGCTTCGCACATGAGCATGTATGAAACTGTGACGGAGTATTGTAATAAATAACATGTTGTGTAAGAGATTTCGATCCAGAATTTTAAAGAGAGGTCTTTAACTTAACATAAAAAACTGGATATTCTGTAGCAATGACTAAAAACATACAAATTCTGTACATAAATAGAGATAAAACGTATTAATTCAGATATTCTTCGATTGTCCACGGTGTCTGCTTACATGTAGATCAGCTGTACACATTTACACAAGTGTGTGTACTCGTCGGTGTGAACCCAGCTCAGGACTGCCCTTCCTGTCTCTGTGCTCCGATCACATGAGGGTTGAACTGCGAGATAATGATGGTGATGTCATCACGGTACATGCGAGCCAGCTCCTCGGGCAGCGACAGCATCTTTGACAGCCTTTCGTGGTCCACCGTGCCAAACTCGTTGTTTCCCACCGCGTGACGCATCAGATGGGTCGCTACGTTGTAATCCTCAAAAGCCGAAGAGACTCGAGCCTTCCTCTCTTCGAGAAGCCCCTGCATCTGGCCCAGGGTGACCCTGTAGCCTCCGACTTTGAGTGGCTGACGCTGGTGCACTCCCGTTAAATACTCCCCCACAACGCGGACCACCTCCTGTCTGTGGAGGGTCTCCCAGAGGCCGTCAGAGCCGATCACCTGCATGGACAGAAAGATGAGAGTAGGAATGAAATGTATGAGAGTAACATCAGATAAAGAACGTTACTCACACACTCTCTGTAGATGTCTAGATATAGATCAGTTACTGAAATATTTGTGACATTACACCACATATCTATTCTGGGAAATGCTGCCGCTGGAAAGAAAAATAAATCCTTTACAATAGCAAAGGATCATTATCAGTCCTTAGCAACCAGAGAAACCAAATAGTCTGTACACAACATGAAATAATGAGCCCAGAAACAAGACAACACCCCTGAGGAAAAAACACAACACTCACTTTGTCTTTTTAAAAACCAAGAAGACTAAAAAAAGGTGCATCTGTTTCTAGGATACTTTCTCTTCTCTTTGCCAGCATGAAAAGCACATTTATAAGTTTTGTTTTGGGAATTTGGGCAGATCTCAGAATGAATTAACTGAGTTATAAAAGCTGCAGGTTGTGGTTGTTATTAACGGGTGCATTTAAATTTCCCATTTAAAAGTGAGATTCAACATGTATCTTACTTTCATACATCGTTTAATGAAAGGTTCCTGACCTCTCAATCACCAACCATATCTCTGTTCTGACTAAACAAGTATGTCTGGTATTGTACCCACTGACGGCCATGTTTGAGAGACAATCAGTCAATCAGAGGCAGAATTAACCATGAGAGTCTAACAATCTCCTACTGAACTACTTTACAGCCTTTATCATTCAAATGAACAGGAGATATTTCAGTGATGAAAGTGTAGCTGCCTCTTCTCTCACCATGAAGCGATCTTGTGGCCGCAGTTTGTGGTACGTGATCTCAGGCTCAGCGGTCAGGTATGGTGGTGTGTGATAGTTGGGTGGGATGAACTTGGTGTGTTCGTTTTCATGGAGCTGATCAGGTCCAGACTCCAACACGCGCTTCTGCAGTTCAATGCTCCACTTGAACTTCACATCCCCGAACGCACGGAACGGCATGAGGAGGCCGAGCAACCGGTCCTGATTTTCAAAAAGAATTTTCATGTTTAAAAAAAACAAAATAATGGTGTAATAACAACCACACTGAGCAAAGTAGTAGCTGTATTACCTGTCTTATAACGGTCTTTCTCTCCGATGGAGGGTGTTCCCCTCTAATCCGAGACACCTCTTCCTCGTTCTGGGCGCTGTGGTCATTAGAGAGCGTGTGAGCGCTGAAGGAGCCATCCTCCTCCTGCACCCCCAACACTGCCCGAGCATCTCCTGCATTGGCTATAAACCTTTGGGACCAGAGAGGAGGGGAATAAATGCTTAAAACATTACATGACATACTTCACCTTATCAGTTTTTATTGATATGTATGTATGTATTTATTCTCCGTACAGGTCTGATCCGTCGATGTGAGCCACACAAGCCGTTGCTCCAGAAAAGGCCACTCTCAGAACCCAGTAGTGCAGGAAAGCGTTCGGGTCTCCAACCTGAGCAGATAGGGTGCATGGTTTAAATTAGATGCTGAGGAAATGGCCTCTGAGCTCCTCTTCAGACCAAAACAAAAGTTTAAATTTGGCTGTTTTTTTCCACTGCTGCTGCTGTGGGCCAAAGTTGAAATATTCAATATGTGTGAAAGTCCTTCACTTAAATCATTAAACTAAATTCAATGAAATGCAGAGTGATTCAGACCTCAACATCAATGACTTGGACTTTGGACTCAGTATAAACATTGACACTGGCAGAATATTTTGTCATGAATTTGTGCCTGGTCAAACAATTCTTTGACAACACAGAATGACAGTATGTTCTGAACTTGTTTTGAATGCAACATGTGATAGAAACTCTCACAGTGCACTTTCCTTCAGGTAAGACCAATGTGAGTAGAGGAAGGTTATGCTTTGAGAGCTTAATTTACATAATTTACATATTATATTTTACATGAATTATTTTAAAGCAGGTCTAAATGCAAAACTACAAAAACAAAGACTAAAGTTAAAACTTTCCAGCTGTTAATAACTTATTATTTAGCAAACTGAGTCACAGATATTTTGATGAGTGAACAGAGTTTTTGATGCAGATTGATTACTCATCCCTAGTGTTGCTCCAGGGCTTATTTCACAATGCAAATATGCAAGTTGGAACATGGTCTGTTTTCAAAAAAACAGTTTTACCCAGAGAACTTCCAAGTTCCTCATTAAATTGACATTCCTTTAGAAGAACAAAGTCGCAGTACATAGTTCACACCTGAGCCTCCAGAGAAATATCATTGTCCAGCCTCTTGAAAGCATTCAGCAGAGCCTCACGGGTGTCCGGAATCTCCCCTGGGCTGAAAACAGAGAGGGAGAGCAACGTGTGTGAAACAGAGGGAGGGAGCCAGAGGTTGAAAACAGAGACCAAGAACAGCACTGTTGGCAAAACAGAAACCTTTAGAGTCAGCGTCAATGTGGGCAACTTTGGGTCCAGATTCAGAAACCAGCTAGTCCAGTTTAAAATGTTGGCAAACTCTATGAAACTGCATAGAAATTCATACTCCACTGAAACATGAGTTCAAATCTCAAAACTTTCCTCCTCTGCCTTGATGCCGTGCACATGGCCACATGGTTCAACAAACAAGATACTACGTCTGGTGTTAGTGAGAAGCCAAAGCTGGGCATTGCATTAAGGCAAACAATTAGCTGCTGTCACATAATGGTGTGATTGACATGAGTCAGGAGACATGCACTTTTTACAACATGGCAGCTGTCGGTGTTGAAGGGTTAAGACTCTGTTGTGCATCCTTGATTTTGATTTCCAGCCCTCACCTGGTGAGGTCAATCAGCTCCTGCCAGTAGGTTCGCAGGCTGCTGAAGTAGAGCATCTGAGCCTCCTTGCTGAAGTAGTCATTGGGGTGTTTGTGCCATTGCAGGATGGGACTGAGGGCCCTGCCGGACTCTACCGCTGCCTCGAGTTCACACAGTGTGTCGTGGGGCAGCAGAGACACTGCTATGTAGTAAAACAACCTCTCACTGAGTGCCTGGAAGAGAGGAAGAGAGGTACACACTTAAATCAAGTCCAAGGAGAAAATAATGATGATCAACAGCATATAAATATACAAGCTGACCATTAAACCATGAATCCTCCAAATAATTCTTTGTTGGCTATGTTTGACAGATGTGCAGCCTAACTGTGTGTATACCTGTATATAGAGAGTTCATGTGGATTAGATTTTCTCTAATTTATTATTATGGCATACATGTCAGTTAAAGTGACAGTGAATGTTAATGCCTTAGAGGTTGTTTACCAGCACTGTGTCACGTGCCAATGCCAAAATTTAAACAATGCAAGAATCAGTTTACAGTTTAAGAAAATCAGAGTACAGATCACATCAAGTGGCACAAAGCACCACAATCAGCTCTACCTGAGCACAGGCACAGCCAGCGTGGCCGTCAAACACACCCAGCAGCATTCCTCGTGTCTGCAGACATGTGGCTGCACTGCGACGGTCCTCTATGGGGGCGTTGGCTGGCAGCTGGTTACTCTCAAATCCCATTATGGCTGATACATTCTTCCCATCAAACTCTGGCACCTACAATCAAAACACATACAAACGGTTCGTTTAGAACTTCGATGTAGAGATGGAGATTAATGTTTTCTGAAAGTATTTAAATCCCCACAAACCTTGAAGCTGTACTCATTAGCTTTGAGAATGGAGTTGACCTGTGGAGGCGTGAGGATGTAACTACGGAGCACGGCGGCAGTCTGGTAACTTCGTAAGTGCTGGTGACTCTGCCACCGTCTTGAGGCAGGTCGGTGTGCTAAATGGGACTGGTGCTGTTGGCATGGTAACAGAGTGGAGGCCAAGATCTTGGTACGGGGCAAACCCCTGAGCAGCTGAGATGTCACGTGCATGGCTGATGATGCACTGAAGGCACACACACAAACAGCAGACCACCAATGTTTTTATCCCTTTTGAAGAAGCAAACACAGACAGTCAGGAAAAACATCTGGAGCAGAGAGTGTTCCATCTATGCTCCATTAAGCAAAAAGTGTGCAAACAGAATGAGGTTGGCATGATGTTTTGAAGCTGGGACATACAGCAGCAGGGTCTCATATAAGCACCTGCAAAACAGGTACAGCAAAACAGCTCACTGTACCAGACATTTATTTGACCATCTAACCATGACATTTACATGTACGTTCAATCTTTAATAACATTAGACGAAAACGACAATCCCATGTAGGGTAATACAGTAGATGAGGCCAACAAAGTGGATAAGACCAAAAATATAAATATCACCAGGTTAAATGGTTTATGTGTTTGGAGAAGATGTCTTCATGCCTCTGTTGAATTTTTGTATTTCTATTATGAGGACATTTGTTTTGCATTTTGTATACAAAACTATTTAAAGACAGTAATAGACCAACAGTGTATAAACACTCAGTTATGCTAATAACAGAGATACCTCTCTATTATTAACTTGAAAACCTTTTTTACTTTTATCTTGTTTTCTTTCTCTTCAATAGCTTTTACTTATTTTCATTATATCAATATTTGTGTTGTTTTTCCTTTGCCCTCTCTGAAGCACTTTGGCTCAACTCCTATTTTGAACATGATATATCTATAAATAGAATCTGATTTGACAACCATCAAAATGATCTTGAAGTTGAATCACCACCTCTCTAAAACAATTTAACAAAAAACTGAACATTATAACCTTCGTAAAGATATGGTAGCTAGCTGTACATAAAGAATTGCCAACTGAGAACTTGTAAAAGGAAATGCAACTGGCAAAATTCCACTGATATATCTGTTTATCTTGAATGCACTTCCTACTCAGGGAAATACCAAACCTAGGATATCATATTACATCTCTGTTGACTGCCTAGGCCGATGTAAACCGCAGTTTGAAGAAGAGAATCTGTATCAGAGGACGCTTCACTGGGAGATGTCCTGGCCTGAGTTGAAACTCTGCACTCCTCTCAAAACACAGGTCAGCAGTGCAGCACGCCTCGCTAAAATTAGCTTTCAGCCCTGACATTTGGATCTTGAGAAATGTTCTGTGTGGTCATGACCAACTGAACTGGATCCAAGCTGCGTCTCTTCATATAATGTGTCCTCGTTACATAACCTACGTTTACCTGCAGCCCTGCAGAGTGAAATACACACACAGTCTCATGCAGCAGATGATGTAGCTCACCTTAACATCTAAGCTTGATCTAGATTGACAGAACCTCAGTTGTCATGAAAACTCTAAAGGTTTTAGTAAACAACATGACAGCCTCCACAGAGAGGACCCCCCCTCCATGTAAATATAAAGTATTTGAATATAAAGGGCCAGTTCTATGGTAAAGAAAACAACATTTCATACAATTTAGATGAAACACACCAGTGAAAACAGCACTAGGATTATTGTATATTCAATTTCACCTAAATCTTTAAAGGGATAGTTCACCCCAAAATAGTAAATCACTAATTATCTGCTGGGGGGAGGGGTCCCTCTCCCAGAAGTGCAGTAGATGTAAGATCCGACAGGGGCTGGTCCTGGTTAACGCTGAGCATCCCTCCCGAACACGGTGCATGAGTCAGAGGAGGCCTCGCTCCAGCTCTGGAGCTGTGCAGGAAAGTTGCCATGTTTGTTGACATTACGAGCCTGAGCTAGCTTGTAGCAGGAAGGTACAACGCGGGCTAACATCGGTGTTGTTAGCAGCGGTCACGATGTCAGATCAGAGCAGGACTCACACGCGGCTCCAAGGTAAGCAAGTAACAGATGAGCTCTCAGGACGTGCGTCACTGACCCGGGTGGAGCAGCCAAGTTGGAGCTAAGCGCGGCTAGTCGAGCCGAGGGGACACTACAGCCCCCGGCTCTGGTTACACTCCCCGAACCGGAGGAGCACCGCTCCCCGAAGCTGCTCCACACACCGATTACAAACCAGCAGCGAGTGAGCAAACACGTCGGGACTCAGACTCACCTCACAGGGACGAGGATAAGTGAGCGGGCTTCATGTCTCCTGATCGCAGCTTTATACTTTCTCTCACTCTGCGGAGCTGCGTGTCGTCCCGCAGCACCACACACTCAGCGCTCATTGGCTGAGCCGTGACAGCCGCCCTGACGTCAGCCCCGCCTCACACGCACGGACCCTTCAAACCAGCAGCTGATCGTTTATCAGAAGAAACAAGTTTCCTCCTCTGATTGTGCAAATACAGCTGATGTGAGGAGCTGTCACTGTTAGGAGGGTCACAAGATATTTATTTCAATACTTCATTTTGCTTTTTCACTGACTGACTTAACAAATATACAAAAAAAAGACCTTTCAAACCCCTATTCACATATACATGTTATTGCTATCTTAATGAAAGAACTACATTACAAAATAGTGCATGATATATCCAACTAATAAATAGTTCAAGGTTTATGGCTATTCAATGCAAACGCATATACATTTGATATAGTACATTTTTCGAGAAATGTAATTAATTGCCTACTTCTTTTTTAAGATCATTTTTATTATTTATATAATTTATTTAATATATATTATTTTTATATATTTCTTATATTTTGACAATGAATTATCACACTTATAACCTTTTGGTTGTACAAACATATTTTCTTTCTGCCACGTTGTTTGTTGTGTTTGTAAGTTATTCAATATTGTATAAAGTATATTAAAAAGGCTTAAAGAGATAGAGGTTGATGTTTTTTTAAATTATGACTAAGATGTGCAACTAAATCACACATGTTCACAAGACTTGTGTTTCAACTATACAAATTAAAATGTGTCAAATTTCATCCCAATATTGATATTAATGCAAACACAAAAAATAAGAAATTGTTACAGCTACAAAACTTTCAACAAGATTGTCTACGTATCAAAACATTTTAATCAATACAAACGTCAAACTCTTTACAAAAATTATGATATTTACATCAGAAAAACATTGGAAGTAAAAACACTGTACACATAAAGAACAGTACAAAAAATAAGCTGCACAAGCTGTGAACAGTAAACATGTTTGAAAAATGCTACTAAACTATCACTGACACAAGAAATTACTCTGGGAATTTAAATCAGAAATCTCTCATCCACCAGAGTCTTGTTGACGAGGTTCTTCCTTCCGAGAAAGTTACGGATCAAGCGAAATATCTGTAATGAATGAGATGGTTTTCAATATATATGTTTTTAAACACAGTTAAAGCAACTTATATTGTATTAACGCCATATACTGACCATTTGCTGTGTGTATGTAAGAATAGCTGCAAGCACAAAACTCTGAGATCCAAGGTCGACGACACAGAAGAACAAAGTGTCAAAGATCAGCAGCGTGGCCTCATTCCCATAAAACAGCACATCGCTGAAGGAGTGGGCTTCATCTGATGTGAGAAACACAAACAGACATGTATGTGTGTCATGTACACAAAAAGATATATATATGGACAAATAGAAATATACAGCCTGTCTAGTCCAAGAGGTCATTACCATTGTAAAATATGCTTTTGTCACTGGGTTCAAGAAACTCCATTCCTATGACCCGCTCAAACACCAGCTTGTCCTTCACGATATAATCCATGTCAGGGTGACCCTAGGGTAAATTGGGCAACATGAGAAACTGTGTCTGTGCCAAATAGTCTAGGTCAATGAACACAGCTCATATACAAACAAACAGATACACATCCTGAGTTTATTTGAGTGAATTTGTACTAACATGGTCTATAATGGATCCCAGGAAGTGGTTCATGGTGTGGTAGGCTCTGGTGTTCTGCTCAAACGGGTTGGCTGTAGATGCGTCTATCAGCCGCGATGGCCCGTTCCTCTGCAACACAAGAGACATCAACCAAATAAACTCAGAATCTCTTTATATTGTATTTTCAGATTTTTTTCGTTCATGACAGAATTACAAACATGGCAGCGAAAGCACACACCCTGCTGAGTGGCTCCCGAATCCTGTCGTACTGTGACCGCAGACGATTGGTAAGCGACACCTGAAAGGTCTGGAGGTCTGTGTTGGGAAGCAGCCCTCTTTGACCACACAGAGACTCCTGGAGACAGAAAGAGGCAGAAACAGAATGAATATGACAAGATGGGTCATAATTATTTTACAGATATTCAACAGAACATGTGGTTTGTTGCTGTACATACAGCCTCTCTCTTTAGGTTATTGTTCATTTCCTCCATGTTTGTATCTGCGTGGCCATGCACTGAACGACCGTGGATGTAGTAGCCAAAACAACGATGCGATAACAGCAGCACGGATACCTTTATAGACACAGACACAACACACTTGAATTAAACGTTCCAGACAGATACTGAAAATTGTTGGATATATAAATGAAACACATTGCTACTTACATTACTGATGGAGCAGAGATCTACAAACTGACGAATTTTGTCCTCCACAAAATGTTCGTAAAACACACTGAAGAAAATCACCTGTGGGATAAATGATTATGATTTGAAGGAGCTTTTTACACTTTTACTTTACACTGTATAGTAAAGGAAGGAGAAGATAATTATAAATGGTGGCAGTTTTACCTGCAGAAGCCCGATGCAGAGCCAGAGTGTAGCTGCAAGACCGTAGCGCAGGATCAGGCTGTATGGCGGCATGTACGCCTGTGAGGAGCGGGTAAGAGTTGGCCAGGGATCCCTCAGCGCCAAGTTAGAAAAACCAAGGACCTGGACGACACAGAGTGACATACCAGCAATGAAGAGAAGGGAGATAATCAAAGCTGGAAAAAAAGGAAAATACTGTATGTGCTGAGTGTAAAATGTACTTCAAGGAAAAAGAGCACGGCCATGATCTGAAAGGTTGGGCTGATCTTGCGGATGGTCTGGATCTCGTTCCATTCATTGGCTACAAAATAGGTTCTCCAGATGCTGACTGGAGCAGCATCACGTTTTGGCTCACCAGCAGAGGCTAAAACAGTGGCAAATAATATGTGACCACAATAAAATAGTTGGCTAATTACTTCATAGGAAAACTGCAAAATATAAGAGCACATTAAATATGGTTGTACCTTGAACAGTTCTGCTAGATTTACTTCGTGGTCTCTCCCAGTCGATGAGAAATACATCGACTGACACCTGAAACACCAGCTTGTGGAGAAACTGGATAGCCTGGAAACACAAAAACCAAAAACAATACTTCATAAGCATTCCGAAAGAAGTACGCCCTCTAGCGTTCAAAAACAACACTGCAAACTTTCACATCGGTTCTGTCTCACCTTTAGGGTGAAGGCACAACCAATGTACGTCACAAACTGCTCCTCCTGTGCAGGCAGTGGTAACAGCACCGATACAAACTGTTGGGCCTAAAAAGACGCAAAAATATTAGTCCAAGAAAGCTGCCAAAAACAATAACACTCAAAAAATCTATGCAAATAAAACAATGTGGAGGCAAAGTAGGTAAAGGAGGAAAAAGACTTGCCTTTAATGTCTAGAGAGTGCAGAGAAGAAAAAAAACAAATGTCCATGCAAAGAGAAAAAGAAACGTGTGTTTGGAAAAGGAACAAAGTTAACAAAGTTGAAAAAGGGAGACAGCTACAGAAATGGGATACTGGTATAAACAGTAAATACAACTCAAATGTGCAAATCATAAATCCTATAAAAAAAACCTTGTAGAAGATGAGCCAGTAAAGCCCAGTTCCCACGGTTACAGCAAAGAAAACGTTGGCCAGGTCTCCAGCATAAAACAGCAAAAACTTCAGCATTGTCTGAGGAAGGAGAAATAAGAGAGACAGAGATTATTTCCTAGCTTTACACCAACATAGGGATGGAGGAGATTTAAATTATAACACATTAAAGGTGCAATACCCCGGCATCAATGAGCGGAGAGGCGATCCTTCTCTTCCAGCTGACCGTCTTCAGCAGAGAGTAGAGCACGGCCACGCCACCCATCACACCCAGAGCAGTCTGTAATCACAAAGGTCTTAAAAATCCTCAGGTGATACCACGTCATTGTGTCCTCGGACATTCACAAGAGCTTCTACTCACATCTGTCTTTATGCGAGCCTCACTCTGATCCATGTCGTACTCCACAGCAAATGTTGTCTAGAAACAGATAAATAACTTAACTAACTAAACAAAAGTCAACCCAAAGCTTGTGTTTGAGATAAAGTCAGTGACTCATTTTACCATTTTTGTGTGTGTGTGTGTGTGTGTGTGTGTATATGACCTACTCACAGACACAGTTTGTGTATTGATATCCGTGATGGGGACATCTGTGTAGGTTATAATCATTAGAGGGGGATATACTTGTCCTTTCTGGGTTCGTGGAACCATTTGGAACCTACCAAACACACACATTGGAAGACATCAGGAATATCATCAAGGCACTTTCTATATTTTTTATCATGGAGGTGTTTAATTCACTTCAGGAGCCCACCTTATTTTGACACTGCTGGCCACACGGATGACTTTAGGCTGAGAGCTCACACTCTTCTCTCTTCCACCCAACATGTCGACAAGAAACACACGTCGAGATAGGTACCAGTTCTTCATGCTCTCTGCAGAGACACAACATATTAAAACAATTCATATCACACACACAGACACACACTAAAAATTATATTGCACCTTGGTTGATGAAGCGTCCATTGTATTGCTGGTTATAGACGAGAGTGGGAAGGGGGAGAAGTTTCCTGTTCTCTCCACCACCAAGATCCAAAAACACATCGTAGAACAGTGGCTCGGGATGGGAGTCCATCAGCTCTGCCACTGAGAGTTCACACTGTACACACACATACAGCTTATAACACAACTGCGCATTACACATTGAGTTTGTGCATCTCTGAGTTGAAGGAAGGCCATGACACTCACACTTTCTTTGTAAGCAGTTCCGAAGCTGTAGGCTGCTGCTTGTTTGATTGCTGTTTCAGGACATAACTTAAAGAGGAGAAGAAGAGAGGAGGTGTGGTATTTATCAGCATCCTGTGCGTTTTATTTTGTATGGGTCACATGAAAACCTGCCTGTTAAAGATGGTTGTCACACTATACAAGAGTAACAACATGCATACTAACAATAGTGGGAGATTTGGCTCTACTATCAAGCTATCGAGGGGAACCAAGCATGCACTTCAATGCTACTGTGTATTGAGACTAATTGATACCTTACCTGTAGATTATTTCCTCCAAGTCGTTCCCACCTGAGGAACTCTCCCCTGACACTATAGACAGCTGCAAGCAGCTTAATGTCAGTGTTCTGTCAAATAAACAGAACATGTTGATTAATGGAACATGTTCTGTACTTTTCTTCCCTCAGATTTATTTCTTTGTAACAGGAAGATGATAAGGGTTTTACAGTTACCTTGTTCTTTCCCCTGAAACTGAAACCACCAGGAATTGGATCAGTCTGAAGCACTCGACTGGCCAGTCCTGGTTCGTCCCCATAGTACAGCCATGGCAGATTAGCTCTCCTGAAGAAACAACATTGAAAGTGCTCAATATCATCTCTGGGTGAAACTAAATTAAGAGTTTATGGGGATGAAACTCTGTTTGTATCATTCTAAATCAGTAGAGATGGTACAATATGACACATATAGGCAATGAGAGTTTGTACCAGTAGGAAATGTCTTGAGTTGAGCTCACAGCAGCCATTGATCTGAAAATGGAGTTGAAGAGACCACAGGCATCGTTGGACACGCCACTAAAAGAGTGCATGTTCATCACACACATGTTCCCAAGAGCCTGGCACGCTGTCAGGTTGGAAAAGACCTGTAAGCACACAATTTATTTACACACTTAATCACACACATAAAGCCTCAGAAAAACCCTAGTGCCCCCTGATAATAACAATGTACACTAAAATCTCACCAATCAACATACTTCACTTGTTTTCAGGTTGATCAACTAGAGGACTGTTTGAATAATTTCACTAGATTTGCTCTGTTGTAAGAAACATTTGGCATCAATTTAAGGTTGACATTTCTATGTAATTATTGAATATGTCTGTTGTGGTGTTTTTGCCATAAATACCAGCATAGCTTCCTAACGATCCACTCAAAATATCCTCCTGTATCATACTGAGGACATTGCTTGGGTAAGAACTGTCCAGACCTAGAACTTGATCCCTATGATGTTATATAGAGCAAAAGATTTTTTACAAGGGGAAATAAGGAGACATGGAATTACAAGACAGGCTGCTGATGAAGAGTAGAGGTTCTTCACAAACCAGGCAGACTGGACGCTGAACTTCTACCAGAGGAACAGAAAAGAAAAGCTAAATCAGAATATGTCAGAAATAACAAAAATGATTAAAGTAAGTAAGAGAGAGGAGGGGAGAGGATGACTCACCAACTGGGCATAGTTGATACTGGGATTCACATTTGTGGTGAGGCTGCCTGGAGGGAAACATAATCCTCCCGCCTGTAAAATACATACAAACCATTGATGATGCATGTGTTTTATAGGTCTGTTACTGAATGGTGTGTGCACAGTGTTTTAGAGAGTGAACTCACAAGGACATTTGGAGGGTTACACACACAGGAGGAGTTAATGAAGGTGGCCTGACATCTCTGACATCTGAAAGACAATAACAATAATTTAAATAATATTCTTCAGTGCTCATATTCTCTATGACTTATTATATAATCCTGCACCGATGTAACTTCCACACTACCTGTCTCCACTGCTGCTCGGCACAGACAGAGCACTGATGTTTCCATTACATGTTTCACACCTGGCCACATCCAAAAGGTTCCCACTGACGTCTCGCTCCACTGGAAGATAAAGTTTGTATTTGGTAATGTATGCATAATGCACACAATTATCCAAGCCATTGCCACATTTTGTTAAATTCAACATTAAAGATTTAATAGTTGTGTCATTACTGACTCACCCAGGACATGGGCTGGTGGACAGAAGCACTTCCCCTCATCACTGACACTGCCCGGACAGCGAATACACCCAAACCCATCTTTCGTTACTGCCTGTGTAAAAAGACAATTTCAATTTAATTTAGAAGCACAAAATCACAACATATCTCGAGGTACATTATATTGTAGGTTTGTAAATAGTAAATAGAGGTATTAAGTGTAAACTCTACATACAGGCTTGTCAGAGGGGCACAGCTGACAAGTAATGGATGCCTTTTCAGTGGTGACACTTCGGTAACCTGTTTTGCAAACACAGGTCAGTCCTAAAATAGGAAAGAAATCCAGAACACAGTTAGTGGAGGTTGTATAATGTCCAGTTCTAACATATTACTTTATAAACAAATCAAAGCTTGTTCCTTCCTTATGGTAATAAGAATGAAATCACTCCCAGGAGGTTGTAACACCATCTCCTCCAAACCACAGTGAAGTCTCCACAGTAGAAGGAAAATGTTAAAACATCTCAAAGTCACGATATTATGTGTTACGAAACTGTATTGATTCGTTTTTACTCAGAGAGTAGATGTAAAGGACACTTTTTCCAGTACATCGCTGATGGATAGTAGAAAGGCTTAAAGGTAGAGAAACATTAAAAATATCACCATAATCGAGAGCAGACCTGGAGGTAGATTGTACACGGTCTTCATGATTTGTCCTTGTGTTTCTTTGCTTGTCATATACCAAATTACGGATTTGTTATTTAAGAAAATAATTGATAGTAGGAATGGTGAGTAGTTTTTGGAGAGTTTGGATTTATTTATGTACAAGGACTGAGATTTATCTCTTTAAATAATCACTTGACAGCTATATATGACTGTTTTTAATATTTTCAATAAGGTAGCCATATTCTGATATGAATATGGGGGAAATGTTAAATAATATCAGCAACATCCTACACTGATTTCACAGATCTACTGTTGTGCATGGTTGCAGGCTATTGATTTCATTCTATTATGAACCAAACAGCACAGATATCGTAAAGTTTTAAGGTTGAATCCCCCTCTTAAATGTTTTCTTTATATTAATATTAGTCTGGCCCTCGTGTTAATCTTTTAAGTGTTTGTATTATCACACATTTGTCCCGAGCTAACTGTTACCCGGGTCATTGTGGCTTCTCTGCATCGTGTGTTGATAGCCGCCTCACAACAAGGTTAGATCCAGTAAATGTCTAATAACACAACATTTCTCGGCGGTGCATCGCGTGTGAATCAGTGCTGCGGACGATGTGCTGTGGCGGTAACAGACCTGTGGAGCTCCGGAGCTGATTTGAACCACACCTCACACACGACAAACTGGAAATGTCGAAGAGCTCCTCCGCGCCGCAATCTGCAGGAGCCCTGAAGGGAATAACAAACTGCTGGCAGCGAAGTGAATCCGCGTAAATTAAAAGAAACAACACCAGGCGAACTTTGTGTTTCATGGCGACAAACTGCGGCGTCCCCGTCGCCATGGTAAACAACGGGCTTCCTCTTACCCACAATCCTCTGTATTCAGCGTGATGACGTCGTAGCGTGCGGGGCCTGTTCACGAAAAGTAAATACTTCCGCGTGGAAAGTTTGTTCGTTGATGGATGGATGAAAAACCACTTAAGAAAAAGATGGTCTCCAGTTAGTGGAGGTTTAATAAAACACGTTAGATAGATAGATAGATAGATAGATAGATAGATAGATAGATAGATAGATAGATAGATAGATAGATAGATAGATAGATAGATAGATAGATGGACTGTGATGTGCTTGGTGCAGTTCCCACTCCGGTCCGGTAGGAGGCGGAGATGTTCCTCCATCACATTCTAATGTGAGTGAAAAAAGGAGGGAACAGGCGGAGCCGGGCGTGGGGGCGCTACAGATTAAGAAGAAGAACGGTTTAGGGGGTTTCCAGTGGAATTCAGCCGCTAACAGCAGAAGTTGAGACGCAGGAGCTGCAGCACAACACGTAACAAAGCGACCTGTTACCACCTATGTGTGTGTGTGTTATTTGTTTTTACCTCAGCTGTGGTGAGTAAAAGATGGTTTGTCATGGCGGACTAAAAAAAAATCCCTACGGTTGATTTGTGTCTCTTTTTTTTCTAATTTCCGTTTCTCTCCTCTGTGCTCTCCTGTGACGCACATGTTTTCCTGAAAGCCTCGTGACTCTTACTCACCATATCTGCCCTCATTTTTCAGACCCCATCCGACCTGCTATGACAAAATGGTCATAATCCTGCGATTGCAAGGGCTTGATGTGAAGGCAGGTACTGAAGATATAAGGAAATTCTTTAAATGCCTTTTTATACCTAACGGTGGCGTGTACATAGTGGGAGGAAGTCTCAGAGAGGCTTTTATCGCATTTACCACCGAGCGAGATGGCCAGCTTGCCATGCAGCACTCTGGAGATTTACTCAAAGGGTCTGAAGTGACTCTACACATCAGCAGCATGGCAGAGCTGGAGCTGAAGTTAAAGTTACAGATGAAGAGGAAGAAGGAGGAAAGGTTACAGATGAAGAGGAAGAAAGAGAAGTTGCAGATGAAGACAAAGGACGTGAAGTTGCAGATGAAAAGGAAGGAGGAGTTACAAATGAAGAATAAGAAGAAACCCTCCCCCACCAGTCAAGGTGTCAAGAGACCTCAACCATCTCCAGATGCAAATCAGCCCTCTTTAAATGCACTTGATCATAATACTTTAAATCCACCATCCTCTACTGCTTGGTCGCTTGATCCCCGTATTGCAAAACTGCGACAGCCTTTGCATCAAAATATTTCAACTCTAGAAACTTCAGCTGTGCACACACTTGATCCCAATACTGCCTTTCTTCTTGGGATGTGCACTGTCCTTCAAGGGCTCCAGTCATCCAATCCAGGACAAAACGATGAGGCTGACAGCACTCATGATGTGGGTGATTTTGTAAGGAAACCGGAACTAAGTCTGGACTCAAGCCCCGGTTATGTCAGGCTCTTTGGGTTGCCTGCCTCAGCTACAAAAGAGGACATATGCCATTTTTTCTCAGGGTTGGAAGTACAGGAAGTTATTGTGAATGTGAAGTTGGGACTCAGCCATGCCTGCCTTGTGAAGTTTGCAAACGTGGAGGATGCATGCAATGCTCTTCATTTCAACCAACAGTTCCTGGGGCCCATCTGTGTGGAGGTACGTGGAGCAACTGAGAAGATGTGGACCAGTGCGCTGCAGGAATGTGAAAATGGATTTGATGATGGCAAGAGAGGGAAACTTCACCCAATGCCCCATAGGGAAACTGCAAACTCCAAACAAACTGCCCCTTCATTACCACTGAGGAAGAGGCGGTCTGATCAACTGTCGCCGAATAATCAGATTAAAAAGCCAAGACCATACAGTGACTCATCATCTATCTTATGTCCAAAAATGGACTACATTGTCATGGCCTGTAACCTACCAACAAAGATGACAAAGACTGAAATAAAGGAATTGTTTCAATGTCCAAACATTGCACACAAAAATGTACTTCACCTGCTGGACAAGGAAGGCAACAGAACAGACACAGCTTTTCTTATTTTTAACTGCAGTGAGGATTACGATTATGCAATAAATCTCAATGGGTGCCATGTGGGTTCTGCCATCATTGAAGTATTATCAATCACTAAGGGGAAGATGAAGGACATGATGGCTAAAACCCATCCCAGACGGGTCATGCCAGACATGATGAAACCAAATCAAAAGAAGAAATCCGATCCACTTGAGACACAAGAAAGACCAACCTTGCACTCAAATACAGATGCTCAGACGTGCCTGTTTGTTAGAAACCTGCCCTCAGATGTAAATGTGAGTCAAATAAAAAACCTGTTCTGCAAGTACAAACTAATGGAGGATAATATCAGTTTATTGCATGACAGTGATGGAAATGGTATTGGTGAGGCCTTAGTTCAGTTTAGGTCACAGAAGTTAGCAGCCCTGGCTCAAGGGCTCAGTGGTCAGGACTTCCTGGGGGCACAAGTCCTCCTAACCTGCATTAGTGTAAAGCAGATGAATGACATCTTGGCAAAAACTTTTTGGAAAAGATGAACATTGCCCTCACCTTAGCCAAAGACTGATTGTGAGATCTTAATGTTCCTTTCAAGACATTTTTCTTCCAGCTGTTATTCTGCTCCAATTAATCAACCCATTGACTCTGTAAACTTTTTTACCAATCAAATGTCTTAATTTTGTTCTGTTATACTGTTCTTTGTCAATTTTAAAATAAAAGTTGTTTGAACACTGTTTCACGGCTCGTCATTTACCAAAGAAAACTTCAGATGATAATACAAGGGATGGAGGAAAGGAAATAGTTTCATTGCAGTGACTGAAATAAATTTCACATTTCCAAACACTTTTCTACATTTCTTTTATTAAAACTCGATCTTGGGGAAAGGAAATAAGAAACAGTCATACACTGACATGATCATTTAAAGCTGAGGAAAACATGCACAGAATTGTGTAAAACTCAAATGGAAAAAAAATAAAAACAATGCCTAAAAGCAATAATATCAAAGTTAACAACTCTTGGAGAAATGACTGATGCTGACGCTGGAAAGGAGTTAGTGAGGTGTGGTATCATCCCCTGATTATTTGTAGTACCTTGATTGAATATCAGAATACCTTGGTGGACCTGAAGAAAGACAAAGAAAATACATTAAAGATCAAAGAACTTTTTTTCCCCCCCAAAATGAGCAACAGGGACATTATCTATTGGTGCTGCTATACCTGACAGAGTACTCGAGTATCGGTCACTACTGCTTGACAATCTGGAAGGAGTAGAGGAGAAACCTGAAGAGCTCATTGACAAGCTGTTCAGATTGGAACCCTTTGGATGAAAAGAAGACGGGACATTTAGAAGGACAAACTACACATACTCCCAAGAACATCATTCAACTGGTTCATTGGATGTGAAATAAATGAAAGCTCTGGGGATTTAATTTCTAAAACAGTGCGTAGGATTCATATGAGAAGTCTATGTGTGCATAACAGCTGAAAATGGCGGAAAACGCAGAGAAAAGATTAAGATTTATAAAACTGCAAACTTACACCTGAATGCAATGTTCACTTCATGAAACACACTAAACCTGGAAAGGGTGGTACAATGATCTGCCTCATATCCCGCCCACATTCAACCATAAATGGTCAATGCAAAAAACCTCATGAATATAAATGATCCTGCCGACCAATTGGTTTCCATTGTAAATCATGGCATCAAGCAATGAAGACGAAGCTAAACTTTCTGACACTGAAATTGAGGAACTTGTGAGTGAGGTGGAGGCTTAGAACGGTGAACAGATCCTTGGGGATTACAAAGCCACCAAACCATTGTGTGAGAAGTGGTGTACGTGTCTTTCAGGCCCCGTTTTGTGCAGTGCTCATGTTGTCAGATTTCAGATTCAATATACTGCACTTAATAGGTTCAGAGGTATGGATATGATACAGACAATATTCTAAACAACAGTTTCAACTACACTTAAGAAAAATGTTTCCCCTACCGATGATACGCTCCTCAGTCTGTACTCCATCAACACATCTGTTAGTTTCTGTGTAACCTTCAGCACCAGCTGAGCATCACTCTCGTTCTCTATTCGGAAAGTATCCTGAAAGACACATTTTGTTAAGTTACTGCATATCAATACAAAAAAAGAATAATTTAAAAAACAGTATCACTCTTTTTAAGTTGGGGAGGATCCTACTGAGAAATGAGACACATACCAAGTAACTGAGCAATGCACTAGGAGGGTTTCTGCTTTCTGGAGCATCTCCCATCAAGCCTGGCCTTTCCATTGGCTTGTCCATTGGTCTGTCCATTGGTCTGTCCATAGAGCTACTCCCCATGGGGCCAACTCGATATTCGTCATGATACATTCTCCCTGAGCTCTCCTCCAGCCGTCCACTCCTTCCATAGCCATCTCTTCCACCACCTGGTCCAAGACCATCTCCACTCCTAACTGGATGATGGCCCATACCTTCTGAGAAAGGTCTCATATCCATATCAGAGTCAGGGAAATCTTGCCTGGTCGAGTAACCTCCAAAACCGGACTCCCCATAATCTTCCACTGGGTAGTCAGACAGCAGACCACCTTGAGGAGGAAACTCCCCTGGATACCCCAGGCCAGAAAACCTGGGACCTGCAAAAGAAACACATAAATTACATTTCATTACACATACAGAAAAGAACAAATGCCCACAATTACACAAGTACAAATATGACCTACCAAAGGGTGGTGCCTTTAGTCCCATTCGCAGAGCTGGTGGAGGCATAACTTTCGGAATAGCAGAACCTGTGAGAGAGATAAGGGCAATAGAAACAAATGGAGTTCACAAAAGCAACCAACAGGGAATTCTTTATTACTGATGTTATACACAGAGAGTAACTTACGGAGTCCTTTGAAAGCTGGTACTTCACAAGGCTCCTTCAGGATCACCTAAAAGCCACAACAGGATCAGAGACATGGATTGTAATTCCTCCTTTCACCATTACCTGTTAACATCTCTGAAATAAAATTCAATTAAGTTTAAAAATGATCTGAATTCCCCCAAAACACTACCATAGCACAAATGTTAATTTGGCCAATCTTACCTTGATTTGTCCCCTTCCCTCCCTTTTCTGCACCTCACCAGCAGCCTCTTTAATACTCTTCCTTACAGAAGGGTCTTTGATGGCCTCTCCCTCATCCCAGTTGACCTTGTCAGGATAGACATTTTTCTGCAAACAGGGAGAAAAATACTAATAATTAAACAATATTGTGTCATTGCTCCAGACTAAAAGAACTTAATACTCACCATGTATCTGAAGCTGTGTTTCCAGCCTTTCACGTGTGAAACCATATCATGCTGCAGGCGGTACACAGCACACATTTTGCACTGGTAGTGTGGTGGTACAGATTTACTGGGGCTGCGGTACTCCCACACATATTGAAGACCTGTAAGAGAGGGGTTTGATCATTGGTTATGCCTTTCAATGTAGGATGAAAAGGTAGATGTGAGGGAAATAATCCTGGTTACCAATGATGCACTCTGTGACCCCCTTCAACAGTGTGCTGAGAGATGGCACAGTCTGGATCGATTCCCCTTTCGTGAACACTGGGGAAACAACAGTGGTCAGCAAAAAGAAAACTTTAATAATGGTTTCACAATACGGTTGATTTCCAACAGACTACTATAGTGAGCCACTATGTTAATCATTTGTAGAGGGAGACCTGAGGCTAGACTTTGTAAAGCAGATAGAAAACTTGTTGATGGAAGTGTCTAGTTGCCAATAAATTTTACTCTGTCTATATTAACTTAGCCATCTTTAGAAACCCACACTTTATTTGTGCTTTTGAAGACAGTGGGAGGGAACACAAACAGCTCACCCCCCCTGATTTAGGCCTGAAATGGGCGACAGGAAAAACAGCTCCTCTGCCACGTTGCTTTTCACAGTGCCCTGACACAGAATTGTGACTTCTTTGTCACACTGATGATGCAGCACAGCAAATGCATGATTAAAAAAAACCCTGCATGTGTAAAAATATTGTGAAAATCAGGTACATTATCACTGAAGCCAGTGTAACACAGGCTACAGGAAAAAAGAGTACTGCATTCAGCAGTTTAAAAAATATATTTTGAGAACATACAGCTCCCATCACAGCACAAAAAGTGCACAAAGATGTCATCAGCAACCATAGTAGATGTACGATTGCGTTACTGTATGTTCTATGGTTTTAAGACCATGTGCAGGTGTTGTCTAGGACTGAGAGTGCTTATGGTGCTGGTCTTCAAGGAAGCAACATATTAGGAGAATGTTTTTTTCCCCAAAATTGCCCAATGTGTTTTTAAAACCCTCTAAATGTTAAAAATGTGATTTTCTAAATAGGAAACTAGTGGCAAGGTACTGGAAAATGTTTGGGAAGATTCTGCAGCTGCAGACACTCATCTCCACAGATCAAAACTGTGGATGCCACAAGAACAGCCCCCATCTCTGAGAGTGAATGAGTCAAGAGTGGTTAACATGTCACTGCCCATGACATGAAGCAGGAAGAAAAAAGTTTAAAAAAATCAAGATCTCAAGCTTCAGCTCTCAGGACTGGCACTAGCACTGTGTGTACAAGACTTACCTATTTCAGCAGAATGCTGCGGCTGCTTTCTCTGTCAATGGAGGGAATAAACCCACATGAAGGAGAGAGACACATAGAGGCATTAGTGACAGGATGACACTTTGCAGAGGACCGACCTCCTCGTCCATGTCCGCCACACTATTTATGCCATACAGCCATTATTTTTCTTACTTTCCATGACCCCTGCACCAAGCAGTGGCAGTCACAGACACGAATAAATAAAAGGTTTCTAGATCATGTAGATTAGTCTAAATTCTCATGAAATAAATGAGAATTTAGAACAGTCACACTTTTTTGAAAAGAAAGAAAGCAAGCTGATAGACTACAACACAAATTACAGTATTCAACCATGTTTGCAGTGGCCACAATACAAAACACTGTGGTCAAAACCTTAGTAATTTCCTCAGGAAAATCAAACTGACGTCATAACCACTTGGGGGAAAAGGAAAACGGGCTCTCACACATGCCCCTTTCCAGCCTTTTAGCAGGATTATCAACAAGGCAATAGACAGGAAGAAGTAGCCAATCACAAGGGAAGTTGACCCTAAAGCCTACATGTAAACTATCTGGACTGAAATCAAAATTCCCTATTGTAATTTGATTTCACTGGTGTGGAATAATCACTGCATTAATAATTGGTTTTCCAGCCAATTGTATAACATTAGAAGTAACCGTTTCATTCAAACATTTTAATGAAATCCCTCAAAGGAACCATCATTGAGCCTTTTTGATTTCCAGCGTGACAGCACTCAGAAATAAAAACTGAGCAACCTGCCATTAGACATCGGTTCATAGAACCAGTCCACATCAAACATAAAGCTCAATTTCAGATCTAAAGATGTGTGATAACGATGTCAATGAAAAAATGCTTGCAGACGAAGAGCTGGTGGTGTGACTTTTCTTTAAAAACACTGAAGTGAACACAGGCTATGATTGAGAGGCCTGGACCACTGTGTGCATGTGGGGAGGGGGGGGGTCTCCAGAGGCCAAATAAAGCAGGCCTGAGAGCACAGAGGCAGGCACCGGCGTCCAGGGGACTACTGCCGCCTGGCTCTCCCATCAGGCATCACCACAGCCAGTGAACAACAACGAGACAGCGCCTGAAGGAAACCACAGGGCTCCTTCTAGAGCTGTCCGAGTCAA